TCCTAAACCGGGACTATTTTAAGGCGGGTGGTTTTGGGGTTGGCTGGGAATTTTTGGGTTTTGAAGTCCACCCGTCTTAAAATTGCCAGGGTTGAGGAACCCTGTTCTACAGGGTACATAGGAACAAATAACTTTGTTCCTACGTACCCTGTACATAGGACCTGCAGGTGACAGGGTAAAAAAAAATAAGATGGTGGCTTTGATTTTCTAATCACAGTCACCATCTTTATTTTTTTCACTTCTTGTACCTCTCTAAGGATCCGATAGGAGACATAGGAATAGAAAGTTCAGGTGGACAGTTCCCCATATAACTACTAGAAAGCAATGAGGTACATCAGCAATGGAGAATAAGGACTAGAGAAAGGAAGAGAAAGTAAGAATATATAGCATTGTATACAACATGTTATAATGTAATAGAAAACAAGAGAGGATTTTGCTCTGAGTTGAATACAAACTACAATTTGATATAGTGAAAGAAAACAAAGAAAGAGGACAATGACAGCAGCAATAATCAGGGGAAAAACATGACTTCAGTTAATATGCTGCCCAGGGTCACATTGTGTGAGATGGGCAGCAATATAAATTTACCAAATAAATATGCAGAATTGCATTTAAAATACAGGAAATACAACAAAGGGTTATTCAGTAAAGACTGCAGACTTCCAGATATAAGGGCAGTAAGAAGTAATTTAAGGAACATGGAGATCTTTGAATGGCTCAGTTTAATGACAGTGGAAGACGAAATATCACAGGTTAGGAGATATCCCATCATTCTTACTTCTTTCCACCACTTAGGAGCAGGAAGAATGGAAAGCACAGGACAGAGTTAAATTAATTCTGCTAACAGGGTTTGAATAGGCTGTCATCATTCCCACCTGCCCATCACCATCCTTTCCACCTCCAGCACCAACATAATCTCTTTTGGAGGCCTTAAGATCAAAGTTGCACTTCCCTTTCCCCAGCAAAATCTCCAAGCAAACATTTGTTGAATGCATAGGATAATATTGTATGTAGCATTGGATTCCTTTTGGAGAAAATGGTGATGGAGCAAATAACATAGACCTTACCTGTATCCAAAATCTAATCTTTGGGAGATAGAAATTGACCCAAATTGATTAGTAATCTTAGACA